TGTAAGTGTTTCAAAAGAGATTATGATTAGGCCAGTTTCTACAAGAATTTCATTTTGTTTTTTCAGAATTTTTTTTACTTCTACAACCTTTTGGGTCTTCAGTTTCTCAACTATTACCTTTTCGTCGATATTTCGCAATTCGTTAGAGTAGATGACGCCTTTTGATATGTTCAGTGATTTATGCAATGTTGCTGTTACTTCATAATCTCCAATTTTATTTAATTTAAGTAATTTTTGTACTTGGGTAGAATTTTTAGTTTTTATTAGCAAGCTACCTGCTCTTGTTTTTTTGCATGTTTCCACTTCTCCTCCGCAAGTATAATCAATTACTTTTTTGATTAAGAAAGGTGATGCATTTTCTAGTGATTTTTTATCGTTCCTTGTTATTATTAAATATTTTGGGTCGCTTGTATTATAATTATTGTTGTTTAGAAACCGGTTTTGTATGTCTGGTGGAAGTGACATTATGATTGTAATGGAGGGCAAAGGCCCACAGAGCACTTTATGTTTTCGTCTGCTTTAGCTGTTTTTTTTATTATAGATATAAAGTTATTTTTTAGAGAAATTTTTTCTCTATAATTGTTTATTCTTTTAATATCGTCTGTATTCACCGTAAGTTTGTTGATAAACAGTAAATTTTTTGTGTATAGGTTTATTCGAACGAAACTGATAAAGCGCCACACGTACTATTTCGCTTGACTTCTTGTTCGGAACTGTCAGTTAGATATATTTAATAACTTAATTTTATTTTTCATTTTTTAAGAATATTTAACTTATTTTGCAAAACAAAACAAAAATAGAGCAGAGTATATTTTCTGTGTTATATGATATCCAAAGCAATATCGTCCGCGTCTAGTTATTAGTAGTTCGTTGATTGTTGGTTATAATAAGAAGAAAAAGTGTTTTGCCTTAAATTGTACCTTTAGCCATCCAAGTGCTGTTGCATTAAAAAAAATATACAGCCATAGTCAAAAGTATTTACACAACGAAAGTTTTTGTACATATTGCATAGAAACATGTTTTTATTGTTGTTGTTGGACGTCAGTTGCAAAAAATTTTTTTGTTGTCACTTAGATTTATTTATGCAGAACCAAATAAAAAAAGAATTGGAAAGATAACTGTTCATTTGACAAAAATATAAGCAACTGAGCTGATGCTTATTAGTAGTCAAAAGTATTTACACACATTTTTTTTGCGTCAAAAGTATTTACACAAAATATTAATTAGCATTTATTCTAGGATTTCGTTTAAGTAAGTGCAGTTGTTAGCTTTTGTCACAAACTACACAAGTTTAGAGATTTCAAAATTTTAGAAATTATTCAGGAAAATGATAAAAATCAAGGAATTATCAGTTGAAATTCGATCTGAAGTTGGTACTTAATATAAGAGTGGGATTTCGGCGACGAACTTAGTAAAGTTATGCAAAATTTTATATAAAACGGTGTAAAATCTAGTTAAAAATAAGTACATTTGAAGAGAACTGGGCAGAAACCTCCCATGAATCAAAGGGAATGCAGAAGATTATTAGGAGTAGTCGTAGAAAATCCTACAATAAGTCCTGTCAAAATAGCAATGTCATCGGAAAAGTTGAGTGGCAAGATTATTAGTGATGCTACACTACATCGCAGGTGGAAAAATATTAATATCAATACCTATGTGGTGCACAAAATAGTCAATATTACTCTAACGATCTTATTAAATATTCTCTCATTTGCTTTAAAGTATTTTAAGTAACCTATACAGTTTCGAAACAATATGTTATGAACAGATGAGTCTGAATTTCAATTCTAGGGTTCATTTGATAACCACTCCATGCATTTTCGACAACGCCAAAAGCATAAAGCAGTGCAGCTACTCAATAGATTTGAAGGTGGCACGGTTTTGTTTTTGGAATGTCTATTAAACAATGCATTTGGAGATTTGGTACCGAAAAATGGCACCTTAAATCAGTCCGGTTATATTGGTATTTTAAATAACCATGTCTTAACGTCAGAAAATAGACCTTTTCTAATCAATAACTGGGTTCTACAACATGACAATGCACCATGTTATCAAGGATGTGGACTTAATCCAATTTTAAAAGAGTTAAATCCTACTGTTTTTTTATAGCCTGCACAGAGTTCTGGTCTTAATGTCATTGAATATGGTTGAGACTTTATAAAACAGCAAAATACTATTAATAAAAATCCAAAATGTAGTGATAGCATAATTGAAATAGCGAATATTCGGTCCAAATTGATTCGCAGCTGGATTCGATCAATTCCAGCTAGATTGCGGGCCGTTATTGATGCCAAAGGTGGTGTAACCAAATATTAATTATATTAATTAAATAAAAATAAAAAATTTTTTTAAAAATTCATCAATTAAGAAGAAGAAAATGAAATTAACGTTTTGTGTAAATACTTTTGACGCAAAAAAAATGTGTGTAAATACTTTTGACTACTAATAAGCATCAGCACAGTTGCTTATACTTTTGTCAAATGAACAGTTATCTTTCTAATTCTTTTTTTATTTGGTTCTGCATAAATAAATCTAAGTGAAAACAAAAAAATTTTTTGCAACTGACGTCCAACAACAACAATAAAAACATGTTTCTATGCAATATGTACAAAAACTTTCGTTGTGTAAATACTTTTGACTATGGCTGTATCTTTTAAAAGCTCTTTTTATATACAATATATACAAAACCGAATATAACTTCTTCTGTTTTAAAGGTTTTCTCCTAGTTTGAGTAGTGAACAATTTCCGTAAAAATTAAGGAGGAGGCCAAAGACAATAATTTCTGGTGTCTTTAGGTTAAATAATAAGAGGCGGATAAGACGCAGTTTATTTGTATTTGTATTCTATTTATTTGTATTCTATCCCCAAAGTAGATTTACTATTTTATTCTCTTGAACTTCATTCCTATTTAAATTTGTTTTATTAAAACATCTTCTGCATTTTAAATGAAAATGTCTATAACCACGTTTGCTTTGTCATGATTTGTACTGTTGCGGTAGGCCCAGTACGTGGGCCGGCTCGCAAACAATTAAATTTATAAATAAGAAGAGATTTAGTTGTAGCGTCAACATTCATTCATTGCGACGGCATCGTCGCAATAGTTATGTCATTCGCCACACTCGTCTTAACCATCGAACAGCTTAAAATGTCTTTAGTGCACGCAAATAAGCAGCGCTACATCGAGGAGCAAGGCCGGTTAATTGCCGTACCTTCCCATCTTCCGAAAGGGGGAGTAATGTGACGTCAACATTCATAAATCGCAGCAACTATAAATTGAATTCAAAATAGTTGACATTAGAAAATTTACTTAGAGATTAAAGTAAGAAGAGATACGTTTCGAGTTTTCGGCTCCATAAATTGTCAGAATAAAATAAAATAAATTCTGCATAGTATATATTGCATTTGTGGTTTTTACTCTGCTTTAGAAGAGTACAAATATAAGCCACAGACAGCTCCTATATAGTGTTGTGATTTTCTATTTCTTTATGATTAGGCAAAACTTGCAATGCCTAAAAATATTAGTGGAGTTCTTCTAACAGAAAACTAACTATTATTCCCAATTATCCCTATCCACTAATAAGAAGTTTTAACTTTAGTGTCAACAATTGGCTACCAATTAATTACTTGTTAGAATTTCTAACTTTGGAGCGAATAATTTGACAACTAACAATTTACTAATTAGAATTTTTAATTTTGATGTCAACGATTTGGGTACTAACTATCTATTAATTTGATAAATAAAAAAAATTATTATGAAAAAAATCTATTTGTATTTAAACTTGTGCTGTTAGAATGTCCTGCCCTTATGCACATACGGAATAGACTTCTGCGAATTTATATCCTTACGAAAGAGACAATAAAACTCTGTAAAGTAGACTCTGTAGTACTCTTTATCGAAGCAACAGGCCTTAAAGACATACTATAAATACTAAAGAAGAACGCCCTCATATTAATGTGAAAGCAGTATCCAAGGCTCCGCCATCTCCCATAAAAGAAAACAAAACACAAAGAGGCTTTGTCGTTCGCTAGACTGATGGATTCTTAGTTCTTTAGTTCCAAAATGGTTAACTATTTTATTAATATCTAAAATATATTTCAGTCAAAAAACCTTCTTCAAAATACCAAATTACCACTTCTTCCATACAATATATCCCGACGGTGATGCACATAAAAAAAATAAAATTTCTAGTAGTAGTAAAATTATGTATTGCTTAGCCGAACAGTTTAGTTCCGAAGAGATTCAGATAATAAACAAATTACTAAATGATTGAATAGATGCTTTACTAATCACTGTTACCTACCTAGCCACAGAGTTCAAAAAGAATCTTACAAAAAATTTATTGAATGATTTGAAAAGAAATTTAAGCAGGGAGAGACTTTAATATCGACAATACGACTCTAAGTCGATCGACGAACAAGACTGATTTTTAAAATCGTCTTCTAATTTCAGACTATGAATCGATGTGCTTAATAGTGTTTAGATTCAACTACTTGTTCCCCTAGCCGTGTGTAGGGAAAACCCTTAAACCACGAGCAGTGCAGTTTAGTCACGGAATAACTTTTCAATAACAACGCGGCGATATTTTGGCTTTTCCCTAATAGTAAATGCTGGCTGGATAAAAACATAAATTTTTAAATAGTATTTTAATGTTTGAGATGTATGTGTAATAATTTTTATAGCAAGTGTGGAAAGCGCAGTTCACGAGACTTGCACAAAACATGTTAGGCAATTTTTGGTTTTAAATTAAACTTGATTCCAAACGAATAACAATAAAAAAACGGGATCAAGTGAGATAAGTTTCATAGAATTACACTAAGAATAGTAATTGCGGTTAATAAGATATTTGGCGGTTGTTAATGTTGGCTGAGGATATATCCATGTCTATACAGCACTTAAATCACAATTATGCTTCATACCAACAATCGAACATTTTAAGTTCATAAAAATTTAATTATATAATGTTTATAATAAAAAGCTTATATTAAAACAAAATTTTTAGAGCACGATGAACATCATTCTGATGAAATAAAATCAGGAGAAGGCGAGCTATCCAATGAAGATAGCCTTAATTTAAGTCCACATGATGAAGACCAGGCTCGACTTATTTTAAAACGTAAATTACAAAGGAATCGCACCTCTTTCACAAACGAGCAAATAGATTGCTTAGAAAAGGGTAAAATATTTTATAATTTTAATAAGCAATATTTCCAATATTCAAAAAATTATTAGTTCTATTTTTGGTTTAGTAAATATTTGTGCTATTATTTCGAAATAGTTATCCTAATATATCCTATGCCTTTGTTGATTGATTCTTTTGCATATATAACATCAAGTAGAATTCGAGCGCACACATTATCCAGATGTTTTTGCCCGCGAGAGATTAGCAAGCAAAATTGGTTTGCCTGAAGCCCGTATACAAGTTTGGTTTTCCAACCGACGTGCCAAATGGCGACGTGAGGAAAAACTTCGTAATCAGCGAAATACGCCAAATACAACGAACGCTAATTTACTTACATCAACATCAACATTATGTGAAAGTTCAAATAGTTTAGGGGCGAATTCAACAACAATAACTACCTGTAATGGCAGTAAGTTTATTATTAAATACATGACGTTACTTTAACCTAAAATTAGAAAGCATTATTTTGAAAAAATTTTAGAGTTTTAGTTCTGTATAAAAATCATGATTATAAATAATACAAACATTATAAAATTGCTTATCTTTCAGATTCGACGTCAGATATTGTATCTCCATCACCACTTATAAGTTTGACGCGTTCCTCATCAGCTCTTGGCGGATCTGTAGCGAACTGTTCTCCATCGACAGGTACACCTGATAACTTGCAAAACTCTACAGGAAGCAGTAGTAATAATAGTAATTCAGCTGAAATTTCTGTGAGTTCAGAAAAACCGTCTGGGAGCACAACTTTATTGGGTATTGGTAATGTTAACAGTACTATACACTCCGCCACACAAACTAGTGTAAATAGTTCGCTGCTGCCTCCTCTTTCACCGCATTTAAACTTTAATAGCAATTTTGGAAGTACAATTAATTCATTATATCCCTCAATGCATCATCATACGATGGCTGTATCGGACACCTATAAGTAAGTGCAAGAGTAATATGAAAATCAAATTAATAAACTTGTATAAGTGTGTATTCTTTTTTTTTTTGTTTTTCTGAAGAAGTGGAATGTTTTATGCACCGTCAGATCGTCGTTGGAATGGTGTGCCCTTTTCCATAAGATTAATATATAGTATACGAACAAAAACACTTCCTCTTCGGCGAAACTTATTCCCTAACGGAACCGCGTTTGCATTACTTCGAGGAGGGTCTGTTTTATGTTGGCATTTCAAGCCATGCTCTTGTGATTTTCGATCTGTATTCAGACCTCTACTTTTTCAATGCAGTTTCTTGGTGTCAGCCTAGTTTCTGGTTCTCCTTTTTAGGTCTATTTTTCTTTGCTTTAAGGACATACATCACATATGACACTAGCCAGTTCTCTGCATTTGCTCTCATATTTTATATATGCGGGTATTAAGTTGAATCATTTATTATGACAAATAAAGTGACAATAAAATGTAATTTTTTTGACAAATATTTGTTTCATGGATGTATTCGACTGGTGCATTTTGCTACCAAGTTTACTATATTCGGAATTACAAATTAAAATAAGATTTTCCCATATTATTAGCGATCCTCTCACAACTTATTAAGCATAAAAAAAGTTTTAAATAAATTTAGAAAAAATTAAATATAAGTCATCTAGGTTTTTAGTACATGTTAGTAACACATTTTTTCTGAAACATTTGGCAAATTTGGAAAGTTCTTTTAATTTTAACAGGTAAAATACTTTATTAAATTAAAACAACGTCTAAATCTAAAGTTGTAAAGGTTAACAAATTTAAATGGGGTGTATCTGTCACCATTCCCAAGGTTTTTAATTGTAAGCTTTGCAAAGTTTTAACAAACAATTATATTCTCAGTTTTTAATATTATTATCACATTATTATTATATTATTATTATTATTTTTATATCATTATTATTGTGATATTTTCTAAAGAGAAACTTTAAAAGGGCCTAAGAGAAAGGGCCTGAGGGAAAGGGCCTGAGAAGTGTGAGAAAGTTCTATCCACTTTGCTCTAGTATAATTTCAGTGCTTATAAGTTATGGTTTATGGGATTGTTTTAATTAAAAATCCAAGTGTATTAGTTGTTATATTCTGTGTTTTAAATATTTTTTAACTGTAATGTCGAGGGGTAATAGCGAGTCCTGATTTTTATTATACCTATAATTTATACACAATATTTTACAATTGTCTTCATTGTATTGCACTTACTAGCCGACAATCTTCAACCTCCCATTGGTGTTTTTATCATTTTCACTGTCAGCAAAGACAAAATTTAGCATGTCATCTGAGTACGCTTCTTCGTACAGAGTCTTCCTATTCGTCTACAGAGGACAGACGAACAATTGCAAAACCGTGTCAAAAGATTTGTGAGGTTTGCTGGACCTGGGATGGTTTACTGAATTATGTGCTGGGAGTTTCGATGTCAAAGATGATCGTTGTTCTAGTTGATCAGTTACTAAAAAAGGCGATAAAATTTTGCAAATAGTAGAGCAAGACCGACACGCAAGTTGTCAGACGACAGCGGAAGCACATGACAGTTCAAAATTATTTAAAAAGTGCAGGCTAAACAAGGACGCTTGACTGAATTACGATCAGTGAAACTTTGTTCTGACGTAACAAAATTAAAGTTACGTTACGTCTACGTTCAAAACCCAGTAACCCTCCAAAGGTGACTTTAAATCCTGAACTGATGGAGGATTGTGTGTTTGGTAGGATTGAAAGAGAATTGTCCAGCCTAGTTTGAAAGGAAATTGGAATGAGCTGATTTAGCCTGAAGTAACGGTTAATTTGGTCTTCTACTGCTTATAACTTGACCGCTTGAGTATAACAATCAAAGAAAATCGGCCTAAATTAGCAAACAGAAAATGAGTCGTGTTCTACTATGCAAGCCATACATAACTTGGAACAAATCAACGAAACTTGATTGGGAAATTTTGAGCCATCTACCGTATAGCTCAAACCCTGTACCCATGATGGCCATTTATTTCGGTATCTGTAAAACTCTCTTGATGGAAAATAATGACCAATTTAAGAGCCGCTGATAATCACTTGGCCAACTTTTTCGTCAATAAAGCACAGCAGTTTTATACCGATGGAACCGAGCTATCTAAAAACCGAGCTATCTAAAAAATGGCGAGATAATTTCAGTTATTTCAGTTTCAGTTATTCATATTAAACAGTCAAGATGCATTAATAAATTAAGGTGCTGAACTAATCACCCACCCAGTTATAATTTTTCGATTATAACTATATTAATTTCGATATTAAAAAGAGGAAGTTTTTTGTGACGATAACGTTATTTTTATATGACACCAGATGTTAGATTGGTTATGATGGACCATAACATTTGGTGTTACTGCCAACAGGTACAGCTAGTTAATCTGAAAACAAATCTCTGTTGAGGTAATTAATAAGTATTAATAAGCAAGAACTCCGACTCCGACCAGGGTAAATTGTGCAGATTGAATTTCGAAATTAAGCTCGGCGACAAGAAGTTATGTCAATTCAAAACTCTGAAGACGGATAACTAGAGATATCCTTGTCAGCGGTGAAGCACAAAGGATGTACACATATAAACCTTCACATACCATATTTATCACACACGACCAAAATGGCCAAAATATGACATTTAATTGACTCCAGCGCAAATTTACCATCCGCTTACAAAAAAGCCAACGTCACAAAACCCATTAATAGATAATAAAATTCTCTAAATGTGTATTCTGACAGAAAGAATACATATTAGATTTCCTAATAGATTTTCTAAATTTTCGTGTTATTAAAAGTTGCATCACACCCAAATGAGACAAAATTCAAGCCAACCAGGACTTTAAGAAAATTGTGCAAATGTGTCAGGTCAAACAATTTACAGCGAGCGTCTCGGAATTCAGGCGATGTTACCGAAGCTAATTGAAAACAATGTTAAAAATAACGAAACACTAATTGCATGGACCCCTGGAGTAGAAAAAATGTTTAGGTATGCAAACAAGAACTAGTTCACCCTGCTATCCTAATGCAATCATCATCGAAAGCCAAATTATATTTATGTGTGGATGCTAGCAAATTTTGCATCGGAGTAACGCTACACGAGTTAAGAGGTGGTCAGAAACACTCTCGCAATTTTTTATAAGCGCATGGCTGAAAACCGACAACGTCAAAGCACTTACGACCTTGAACTATTGGCAGTGTTCCAATCTGTGAAACACTTCGAGCACTTCGAAAGCCGTAGTAACACCATATTGGTTGATATCATCCTCTACCATATACATATAAACGAAATTTTGAGAAGGCAACACCAAAACAATCACGGCGACTCAGTTTCATCAATAAATACATATTCATATGTTTATTTAACATTTAGCTGGCAAGGACAATATTGTGGCCGATACCCTCTCTAGTGTTGTAGCAATTGATGGGAAAGACCAAGTTAATTTGCTCAAGTTAGTAGAAAGACAGCAAAACGACGCCGATTTAGTACCATGCGGCAACATTACTTGTTTGAAACCAAAAATATAAAATTTGCAGCCACCAACAAAACATTATACTGCGATGTTCCTATCAATATGTTCGTATATTTCACAAGACTCTCGAGAACAAGTTATCAACTCTTTACACAATTTGTCATGCCAACGTGAAAATATGTTGAAAGTATAATTTAAGTATCAATTTTGCAATTTTTATTCAAAACACTTACTCTTCTTGTTTTTATAACCAAGCATTTACATGACTTTACAACATGTAGTTCTTTTCTCTTTGGTTTATATTAATTTCCAACATACATATTTGAGTTAAATAAGCTTAATGCATGACAAACAAAGATATAGAGAAATATAGTCAGAGAAAATATTTGAGTATTATCCTCGCACTTCTCTGGGAGAAAGTTCTAAAACTAATCAACAAAAATGTTTTTATATGTAGTTATTTTAAAGAATATGTTAAAAATTTTATCCAATAAATTACCAATTAAATTAAAGAATATGTTAAAAATTTTATCCAATAAATTACCTGTTATTATTATATAATTTCATTTAAATTGAGCTTTTATTACTATTTTCAGTTCATTGTCATCCTTCACTCAAATGTCGTCATCACTAGGTCAACAAAGGGAATTAACTCCGCCATCGCTATACCAGTGTCACATGTCATTGCGACCACCGACGCATCATAATATAGGAAATTCATTTGGAAACACTTCTTTATCAATTGGAAATAATAGTAATAATCAACACGTATATTATGGAAGTGGTAGTGATTCTATAAGTGGATACCCTTCGCATGTAATTGGAGAAAATATTTCAATGCCTAACCCAATAACCTGCAATGCTGATTTTAACCGTGAAACCTCAGCCGCTAATCAATTAATTAATTCAGGAACTAGTGATAACTTATCAAATTCATCGTATATTCAACTAGGATATAATTCTTCTGCATCTAGTACAGTTGCTGCATCCTCGATTAGTTCTAATAATGGCAACAGTGCGACGGGTAAACAGCAACAGTTCTTTGCATCTTGCTTTTACTCACCTTGGGTTTAAAAATCTAAAAACTTATGTACATCGGTTTATGACTAAACATTGAAAATTGTTTTATTTTACATAACATAATATGTTGTGAATAGTTATTATATATACATGTGTATATGTATTTGTTCATCTTATGATAAGATGTAATATAGTATATAAATAGATTTATATTTATAGTATCTAAGCTTAAATAAATGGAAGACATTACTTAATTTAAAAAATTTTATATTATTTTGTATCTTTCCAGTCGTTGTTACCTTTATTTTGTATTTATATTAAATAATTTGTTAAAAGTAAATTAGTTAAAAATTTTATTTCTGGAATAAAATTATATCGATTATAAATCAATATGATATACAACATATAAATAAATTAGTTATGCTGTAATATGTAAGTATAGTTGTTACTGCTAATAACATATATATGAAATGCATAGATATATAATTATTATATATTGTTGCGTAGAAAAGAAATGGATATATTATTTGATTGGTATAATGATAGCAAAAAATAATACCTGTTTTAGGTGTTCTGCATGTAATTTATTTTGAATTTTCAAGAACAACGTGGTCTATGTTTGGCGTTCGCTCATTAAGGGTGTAAAACTACTCTAACAACTAATTTTACAGTCGTAATTTAAACCTCAATACTGACTTAAGTATGATTTAAACCACAAAGTTGATAACTTAAGTCCCTTACTGCCGACTATGAAATTAGTCGTGAAGGTACTCACGAAATCCATGAAATTTAAGCAACTCAAATATATAGTATTTCAATTTCAATAAGAGGCTGAGCTTAAATTTTCATCGCTTAAATCACATATAAAATTTTTGATTGAAATCAATTTCCATTTTTATGTAAAAATAATTCAGAAAGAAATGTAAAAAAAAATATTTATTGGAAAACTAATTACGTTTAATTTAAAAAAAAAAAAAATTATTTATTTCCTACAAATATTACAAAAACAAAATATACCCATCGACAAATCAAAAAATATTTGTCACTGTGTGGATGAATAAAAAGCATGCACAGAGCCCTTGAACTATGCATGCATATTATGACCGACGTAATTGACTGAATATTCAAAAAACACGATCAAACCCCTTAAGTGATGGCTCTTTTCGAATAAAATTGGCACTCGAACGCGTTGGTTCATATGCTGCCCATCCCAGTTTTATGAGAATGGCAATTGGATCAAGTGGGCCGGCATACACTATTGCACATTAAACATTTGTGTTGGCCCAATTTATCACAGTAGCATTAATGGGCGCACATTCTCTAATTCTACAATAGACAACCACTTAAAATTACATCCAATTTTTGGTCACACTTTCTTACCAGTGACTTTACCAGTGCAGCTGTAAGAGTTGTTTTTTACCAATAACACCTAGTTGAAACTCAATAATCTAGCATGGAGATTGACGACTTTTCATCCAATAGCCGAAAAATCCTAAGCTAACCTTTTAAATTCATTATATTAATCAACACCAATTTAAATAGGAAACTCGAATATAGCACAACTTAAAACTTGCAGAGCTGCTTTAGGCTTAGATCGCAATTATTGTTAAGGTTCACGTAAAAACCTATTATGGTTTCTACGGCAACCAATAACACTGAATGACTTTCTTAATTGGCTATGGATGGCTTTCTGCATTTTACGCAGGCATGAAAAAATCAGTACTGCTTTACTTTTCCCAACGTCTCTCAGGCCACTTTTTTGTTCAGTTTCAACAGTTTGCGCCTGTATAACGCAGCGTGACTGGTTTTAGCTAATGTGACAATAGGTAAATTATTTTCGCAATTTGACTCAATCAGTACATTCTTTTATTTTAGGGTAGGCATAAAATGTCCATTCAAACTATTTAATATGCAGCAAATTATGAACCAGTTGTTCCAACAATGTTGGGTTGCTTATATGATGCTCACAATTGACCCATGACACAAAGGCGACGATATATCGCATAAGAGATGTCAAGCGAATTAAATTATCAATATTTTTCTTGTTCACTTTATTCACGTCATACACCTTATTTATGTATTTTTTTATTTATTTTCACTAGCAAATCTGGGTGACCATATCAAAATTCAAATTCTATAAGAGCACATTAGATGGATATATTAGTAATGACTAGACGTCTCCCTTGACTTCTTCCATTAGATATTTCTGTAAGTGCAATTAATTAAACGCACCGCAGACTCTTCTACTTTTCGTCATCTT